CCTGCCATGGCCCAATGCTATGGAATCTCTGGACTTGTAATGTGATGATTCAGCAGCACGCTTTGGCAGAAAAAGTTAAAGAGCTTATAAAACCACAGCTCCATTATCTCATAGCACTGAGCCATGGCAAGTGATGATAACTACATTAATTGTACCTGAAATTACCCTCAAGTAAGAAGGAATAATCATCTTTTCTAAAGTTAAAAGACTCTTCCTAGATCAAGATGAAAAGACTAGTGGTGACTGTTGCGTGGATTACCGTTGCCAATGCTTCTACCAAAAGGTAGGATGCCAGTTTTCTTGCCTGGCGAAGATGAAAAAAAGCCTGCTTACTTATGGCAGTGATCTGGGCCTCTATCGTCAGCGATGAGTCCAACAAACCCCAAGGCTTTTAACAGTGGCAGACGGAACCAGAGCTTCCCCATCAAAATCAGGCAGAGACTGGGTTAATTCTGGCGGCTGGCCAGGCCAGAGTATCTCAGTTTTAGCAGGATTCACTTTGAGTCTGCTCGCTCGCAGCCAACTCAACACTGCTTCCAAACACAGCCTAAAGTTCTCAGGAATCGCGGTTGTCCCAGGTTCGAGATGCAAGAATAGCTGGGTATCATCTGCATACTGGTAGCACTCTATGCCAAAGCTCCGCACCAGTCCAGCAAGTGTCCGGACGTAGATGTTAAATAACAGGGGCGAGAGGATAGCACCCTGGGGAACTCCACAGCAAAGGCAGGAGCTCTCAGAGCTTTGGCCTAACCACTCCACCCTCTGTCTCCGGTCCTTAATTGAAGGCCTACCTCTTTCTTTGTCCCTTCTGAGCTCCTCCCTCAGTAACACATTCTCCCTTAGACACACATTCTTTTTATCTCACCCAGGGTTTTACCAATTTTATTCTTAGCACATTGGCCCACCCCTGTGTTTCATCTCTCTATCATATTATTTTGAGACTGATTATTTTAATTTGTCATTTCATGTGTTTATTCTCTCTGGTTGCTTCTGGATCGAGAGAATCGGCCGTCTACGAAGACGTTGCCCAGGGGACGCCCGGATGTCTTGCAATCCTGCGAGGAGGCTTCTCTCATGTCCTCCCGACATGGCATATTATTGGCACCGACCAATAATATGCCAACTGTTCCCAACAATAAGGCCTCAGGAAGTTCGATTTAAACGAAGATACAACTTCAGAAAGGCAGATTGGACTAAATTCTCAGACATGTTAGATGACATGATCACATCGGTCGCGCCAATCCCTGAGGAATACGAACATTTTATTGAAATAGTGAAAACCTGCTCACGGGCCTCTATACCGAGAGGCTGCAGAACCCACTACCTTCAGGGCATTACTCCTGAAACAGCTGCCTTGTTGGAAAACTATTACAGGCTCCACAACGAAGACCCATTTAGTGAGCAAACCCTTCAGGCAGCGCAGAGCATTGTGTCCTCCATCTCTGAAGCCAAGAAAGAACAGTGGATCAAGCTGATCACAGAGGTCGGCATGGGCAGGAGCAGCCAGAAGGCATGGAGGCTGCTGAGACGGTTGAGCAATAACCCCTCACAAACTAATACCCATGCAGATCAGATAGCACACCAACGCTTGAAGAATTGGAAACCCAATTTGCCACCAAAGTAGGAAAGAAACCAATAGCCAGACAACAAGAGATTGAGAACAACAACCTTCATGAACCCTTTACATCTACTGAATTGGACATGGCTCTCAACAAATGTAAGAATGGCAAAGCAGCTGGCTTGGATGATCTACGGATGGAACAAATCAAGAACTTTGGTCCAAAAGCAAGGCGCTGGCTGCTGGAGCTGATGAACAACTGCACTGCATCCTGTCAGATCCCCAAAATCTGGAGGAAAGCAAGAGTCATCGCCATCTTAAAGCCAGGCAAAGACCACAATGACCCAAAAAGCTACAGACCAATCTCCCTGTTGTGCCACCTCTACAAAGTTCTGGAGAGACTTATTTTGCATAGAATTATGGAAAAAATAGACCCATGTCTGATTCTACAGCAAGCTGGCTTCAGGAAAGGCAAAAGCTGCACATCGAAAGTGCTGAACCTGACTCACCACATAGAAGATGGCTTTGAAAGGCAGCAGATCAGGAGCTGTCTTCATAGACCTGTCAGCAGCCTATGATACTGTGAACCACCGCCTCCTCCTGAGAAAAATGTATAATCTCACAAAGGACGACCACCTCACCTGCTTCATAGCAAATCTGCTACAAAACAGGAGCTTTTTTGTTGAGTTCCAGGGCCAGAGAAGCAGATGGCGGAAACAGAAGAACGGCCTGCCTCAGGGGAGCGTGCTTGCTCTATCCATGTTCAACATCTACACAAATGACCAGCCACTGCCAGAAGGGACAGAGAGCTTCATCTATGCTGATGATCATGCCATTGCTGCTCAAGCAGGGAGCTTTGAGATGGTAGAACAGAAGCTCTCCGAAGCTCTAGGTGCTCTTACTGCCTATTACAGGGAAAACCAGCTGATTCCTAATCCATCTAAAACACAGACATGTGCTTTTCACCTTAAGAACAGACAAGCATCCCGAGCTCTGAGGATTACCTGGGAAGGAATCCCTCTGGAGCATTGCAGCACACCCAAATACCTGGGAGTCACTCTGGACCGTGCTCTGACCTACAAGAAGCACTGCCTGAACATCAAGCAAAAAGTGGGTGCTAGAAACTATCATACGAAAGCTGACTGGCACAACCTGGGGATCACAACCAGACACAGTGAAGACATCTGCCCTTGCGCTATGCTACTCTGCTGCTGAGTATGCATGCCCAGTGTGGAACACATCTCACCACACTAAAACAGTAGATGTGGCTCTTAATGAGACATGCCGCATTATCACAGGGTGTCTGCGCCCCACACCACTGGAGAAATTACCTGCTTAGCCGGTATTGCACCACCTGACATCCGCCGGGAAGTAGCAGCCAATAGTGAAAGGACCAAGGCAGAGACATCTCCAGCTCATCCCCTGTTTGGGTATCAGCCAGCACGTCAACGACTTAAATCAAGAAATAGTTTTCTAAGATCTACAGAGACACTCGCTGGAACACCTCAGCAAGCGAGAGTCCAAAAGTGGCAGGCCCAAACCCAGCACCTCAATCCATGGGTGATACCAGATGAGAGACTCCCCCCTGGGCACAGATCGGCGACTTGGAAGGCGCTGAACAGACTGCGCTCTGGCACCACGAGATGCAGAGCCAACCTCAAGTAATGGGGCCACAAAGTGGAATCCACGACATGCGAGTGTGGAGAAGAGGAAACCACTGACCACCTGCTGCAATGCACCCTGAGCCCTGCCACATGCACAATGGAGGACCTTCTTGCGGCAACCCCAGAGGCACTCCAAGTGGCCAGATACTGGTCAAAGGACATTTAACCAAATACCAAATTTGCAAAATCTGTGTGTTTTTTTCCTTTTTCTTTTTAATCTGTGTGTTTGTTTTGCTCTGTTAGAATTGTAATACAATGGTTGCTGATGACACGATAAATAAATAATGTGTTTATTTTGATGCTACTTTGTTTCTTTGTTGTGTCCGACTGTGGAGGTTGGTGGTCATATCCATTTCTAAGCCAAAGAGCCGGCATTGTCCATAGGCACCTCCAAGGTCATGTGGCCTGCATGACTGCATGGAGCGTTGTTACCTTCCTGCTGGAGCAGTACTTATTAATCTACTCATATTTGCATGTTTTTGAACGGCTAGGTTGCCGAAAGCTCAGGCTAACAGCAGTAGCTCATCCTGCTCCCCAGATTCGAACCTGTGACCTTTCAGTCAGCAAGTTCAGCAGCCCACTGTGCCACTGGGGGCTCCTAAAATTACATGATAGATTAAATTAAACCATGATAGATTAAATTAAACCCTAAAACTTGATGATCATGCCTTCTAACTCTTTCTGTAAGTCATTAATAAACAGGGCCGGACCCAGGATTGAACCCTGCTTATCGTCACTTCTTTCCAAGATGAATTGGAAAGCACTCTCTGGCCTCGTTCAAATAATGTTTAAGTTCCATCAAAAATCTTTGTGTCATGAAGCACAAAAATTAAAATAAACGAAATACCACTAAAATCACTGTTCAAAAGTATGCATGATATTTTGGATGTGTGAAAGGGAATAAATTACTACATAAAGCAGTCATTTAAGAGAATTAAAACAAACATATCAATTTAAATGTGGAAAACTTCTGCATTCATTTCATTAATTGCTGTATAAAAGGAAAAAAACTTTTAAAAGTTACTTTTTGCAGGCTGCAAGATCCTCAGCCTGGTTTTAAAAGCTAAAGCTTTTTATCTCCAAGACAGGAAAAGCTTCTGCTAATTTCTGCCCACAATTTCATCACCTTGCTAAGAAAACTCCATCCCTTTTCGATAGCTATTTCCAGCGGTTTGGACACATTGATCCTTCTGTTAACCACAAATCCATAAAGCATTATCCTCAGACATTTTTTTTCTAGAGAAAAATAACTTTTTCAAAGTTTTCTTACTTAAGAGAGAATCTGGCAGAGCAAGAAACTGCTATGCAACAGCGCCACCGCGCGTCCGAAAGGCGCAATAGCACAAACATGGTAAAACTTTCGTAAACTACAAATACTAGGAAACACATCAATTCCACAACAAAACACTACTGTGGAACAAAAACATTTAAAATATTGCATTTCCCTCCATTGCTTTCTATGGACATGAATTAAAGTGTATGAAAATGTCTTCCAAAATCAACCTAAAGTCTTGATCACTCTATTTTATACATAGCTCTATGGTGAGAGATGTCACGTGACGTCCCCGCTTCAGCCAAAGCCTGAGAAAGTTATGTGGAAAGAACGGGGGTGGAGTACGTGAGAGTGACAGGACGGAGCGACCAATCGTAGGCCGCGAATCTAGGCCGTCGAAAGGAGACGATAGTGCTGTATGCGAGAGTGGCAGGAATAGCCCACCAATCGCAGGCTGCCAATCTAGGAGGCGGGATTTTCAGGAGAATTCGGCCATCTTGCTATAGTCAAGCTGAGCTTTTCAGCCGCTCAGCGGAAGACAACAGAGAGGTGTCACATGACTCCTCCCTTGAAGGCGAAGATGATAGGGTTGGGCCTGTGTGAGAGTGACAGGAAGGATCCACCAATCGGAGGCTGCCGGAATCTCAAGGGAGGGAGGGGGGAAAACAAACCACCATTTGGCTACAGCCAGAGCGCGCGGGCCTTTTGATTCTCGGCAGCGCTTCTCATTGGATGACGGTGCGCTCGAGACGCAGGTTAGAAGCGGGCGCGCTCTGGAATTCGGGGGGGGGGGGGGGGGGGGGGGGGGGATGTGTACTTGAACTGGGAGGACGCAAAATGGCGCCGAAGCACGAAGCTGCCTTCCCTTGGTAGCTCCGATTTTGGGGGGAGCGGGTCTGGGTTTATAAAATGGGGAAGATATACATCCCTTACACCCCATTTCCAGCACCAAAAAGCCCTCAAGTCTCATAGAAACATAGAATCAAAGACTTGGAAGAGACCTCATGGGCCATCCAGTCCAACCCCCTGCCAAGAAGCAGGATATTGCATTCAAATCACCCCTGACAGATGGCCATCCAGCCTCTGTTTAAAAGCTTCCAAAGAAGGAGCCTCCACCACACTCCGGGGCAGAGAGTTCCACTGCTGAACGGCTCTCACAGTCAGGAAGTTCTTCCTCATGTTCCTGCAACATCACTTAGGAGCCCCTCAATATATGCAGTATAATCATAAATAGGAATGATAACGTTGTGATTGAATATATCATTCATATATATATATATATATATATATATATATATATATAATGCAACTTATGATGTAGTATAATCTATTCTATAATACTCATTGTATAGTATACTGGTGTTGTTGTTCATTCGTTCAGTCGTCTCCGACTCTTCGGGACCTCATGGACCAGCCCACGCCAGAGCTCCCTGTCGGCCGTCACCACCCCCAGCTCCCTCAAGGTCAGTCCAGTCACTTCAAGGATGCCATCCATCCATCTTGCCCTTGGTCGGCCCCTCTTCCTTTTGCCTTCCACTTTCCCCAGCATAATTGTCTTCTCTAGACTTTCCTGTCTTCTCATGATGTGGCCAAAGTACTTCATCCTTCCCTCCAGTGAGCAGCTGGGCATTATTTCCTGGAGTATGGGCTGGTTTGATCTTTTTGTGGTCCATGGCTCAGAATTTTCCTCCACCACCACAGTTCAAAAGCATTATCTTCCTTCGCTTGTTTATGGTCCAGCTCTCGCATCCATAGGTTGCTATGGGGAATAACATTACCTTCCCGCCGAAGCTACCTATTGATCTCTTCACACTTTCATGTTTTCGAACTGCTAGGTCCTCTTCCTTTTGCCTTCCATTTTCCCCAGCATAATTGTCTTCTCTAAGCTTTCCTGTCTTCTCATTATGTGGCTAAAGTACTTCATCTTTGCCTTTTGTTTGGTTGTTGTTTATTTGTTCAGTCACTTCCAACTCTTCGTGACCTCATGGACCATCCCATGCCAGAGCTACCTGCCAGCTGTGGCCATCCCCAGCTCCTTCAAGGTCAAGCCAGTCACTTCAAGGATACCATCCATTCATTTTGCCCTTGGTCAGACCCTCTTCCTTTTTTCTTCCATTTTCCCCAGCATAATTGTCTTCTCCAAGCTTTCCTGTCTTCTCATTATGTGGCCAAAGTACTTCATCTTTGCCTCTAATATCCTTCCCTCCAATGGGTAGTCAGGCTTTATTTCCTGAAGTATGGACTGGTTGGATCTTCTCATGGTCCAAGGCACTCTCAGAAATTTCCTCCAGCACCACAGCTCAAAAGCATCTATCTTCCTTCGCTCAGCCTTCCCTAAGGTCCAGCTCTCACATCCGTAGATCTTTGCGGATCTATGCGGATCTTTGTTGCCACTGTGATGTCTCTACTCTTCACTATTTTATCGAGATTGGACATTACTAATACTAATATATTACTAATACATTAAATATAATTATTACTGAAAATATATAATGGTATACCGTTTTATCGTTGTATATTTGTATATTTTAAGTTGAATGTTTTTTTATTGTGAGCCGCTTTGTATCTCTGTATGGAGAGATAAAGAGGGAAATAAATAAATAAAAGTACCTCTGAGCATATACAGAACAATATAGAGAAGCTATATAAGACCACATACCCTGCTTCTTTTTTTCTCTTAAGGGTGAAAAATAACTAGTGTTCATCTTTCAGTAATGGCCCTAGGCTCTCAATTAACCAGAATTCTCAAGCAACCGGCCAAAAATAATAGAAAAAATAATAATTTTAGACAGCATTTTATAAAGACAGCATACAAAGCTGTCTGTATAAAACAATAAAGCTGTGTTACATTTATTTATTTATTTATTTATTTATTTATTGTGTCAGAAACAAATTGAGAATACAGTTATAATATATAAAAAACCACAAAGTTAAAAACTTGGCATTATGCTAAATTTCCTTTGACTTGCAGTGCCTCCGATGTCGCTGTAAGAAGGTCCTCCATTGTGCATGTGACAGGGTTCAGTCTGCATTGTAATAGGTGGTCTGTGGTTTGCTCTCATCCACACTCGCATGTCATGGACTCCACTTCGTGGCCCCATTTCTTAAGATTGGCGCTCCATCTCGTATTACCAGAGTGCCGTCTGTTTAGCACCTCCCACATCACCCAGTTTTCTGTGTGCCCAGGAGAGAGTTTCTCACTGATTGAGGTTCTGGGTTCATTACTGGCTGCTACTTCCCAACAGATGTCAGGTAGTGCAATACCAGCTAAACCAGGCATGGGCAAGCTTGGGCCCTCCAGGTGTTTTAAACTTCAACTCCCACAATTGGGGAATTGAAGTTTAAAACACCCGGAGGGCCCAAGTTTGCTCATGCCTGGGCTAAACCGTATAATTTCTCCAGTGGCATAGGTCATAGACATCCTGTGGTAGTGCATTATCACATTAATGTTGTCTTAATTTGTCTTAGGCCCCTTCTACGCTGCCAAATAAAATCCAGATTATCTGCTATGAGTTTATATGGCAGTATAAACTCATATAATACAGTTTAAAGCAGATATTGTGGATTATCCGCTTGGTTAATCTGGATTATATGGCAGTGGAGAAGGGGCAATAATAATAATAATAATAATAATAATAATAATAATAATAATAATAAATGTATTTATATCCTGGTTTTTCTCTCAAGTGAGACTCAACCTAAAAATATACAATGTGTAAATTAAAACATAAAGCATGTAAACACTAAAATAAAGTTAAATATAGTACTTAATTAAAAACCTGTTCAACTAACTACATAAAACACAGGTTTTAATTACTATTTCTATTTTAATATCATGTCAGCACAAACGTATGGGGAATAATATTAGGCCTTTTTTCTATAGCAGCTGTCAAACAACCAGAAACATTTTATCCAGCCTCTACCAATACCCATTCGTTTAGTTTTTTTCATTTATCAAAGTGCTGGTGCCTCGCCTTTAATGATGATCATTCCAGGATAGTTTACAACACAGCTGATAACAAAGGAGTAGTAAAGTACACAGGCAATTAGGAAACAGACCATGTAATTGCCAGATTTATATACTGTTTATCAAATGAACCTCCCAAAGTATTTTCCATAAAAGGCTTTAACGCAAGCATCCGTTGTCACACAAATGCCTGTTATAGGGTAATTTTATGAGGTTCTAAACAGTGGCCAAATAGCATGGCTGAGTAGTAAAAAAAAGGTTGGCTGGGCTAATGAAAGTGTACATAAGGGGGTAAGCAGTAGAGCTGGAATTAATTTTCTTGATGGGTTAGCTACAGTATGGTGTTAATTTGTACCTGAATTTGCTTTGTGTACCAGAACTGAGACAGGAAAGCTTAGAGAAAACAATGATGCTGGGGAAAATGGAAGGAAAAAGGAAGAGTGGCTGACCAAGGGCAAGATGGATGGATGGCATCCTTGAAGTGACTGCATTGACCTTGAAAGAGCTAGGGGTGGTGATGGCCGGCAGGGAGCATTGGCGTGAGCTGGTCCATGGGCTCACGAAGAATCGGAAACGACTGAACGAATGAACAACAACACCAGAACTAAACATGAGCTCTATGTGGGGCTGCCCTTGAAGACGGCTCGGAAGCTCCAACTGGTCCAATGATCAGCAGCCAGGATGCTAACTGGGGCCCCTTACAGAGAGAGGTCAACCCTCCTGTTTAAGGAGCTCCACTGGCTGCCATTTATTTTCCGAGCCCAATTCAAGGTGCAGGTGCTTACCTACAAAGCCCTGAACGGTTTGGGACCAGCCTACCTGCGTGACCGCATCTCCATCTACGAACCCACACGTTCTCTTCGGTCATCTGGAGAGGCCCTGCTTGTGATCCCACCGGCGTCGCAAGCGCGCTTGGTGGGGACGAGGGACAGGGCCTTTTCCGTGGTGGCCCCCTGACTCTGGAACACCCTCCCCAAAGACCTTAGACAGGCCCCTACATTGGCTGCCTTCAGAAAGAACTTGAAGACCTGGCTTTTCCGATGCGCCTTCCCAGATTAGGAAATCTCCACCACCAAGTCCCATAAGCACTTTATCAGAACCAATGATTGCTGCACATCGCACATCGCACTTGCCCTGGAAGCCCCATATACACCTCCTGTCACATCAGCACTTTTAATCTTGTACCCATTGCTCTGGCCCGGCCCAGTTTTATTGTGTTTACTGTATTGTGCCTGTGGTTTATTTTGCTTTATTCTGTTTTTAATTGTTTGATTTGCTTAGATTGTATTGTTGTGTTGTGTGTTGAGGCCTCGGCCTGTGTAAGCCGCATCGAATCCTTCGGGAGATGCTAGCGGGGTACAAATAAAGTTTAATAATAATAATAATAATTAATAATAATTGTGTTGTTATTAGCTCTCAAGCCTATCAGCTGCCTTGCTCAAGTCTTGCAAACTTAGATCCATAACTTCCTTGATTGGATCATCAATAGGAGCAGTGTTTAAAATAGCAAAAGAAGCAATAAGCCCCTTCTACACAGCCATATAATCCAGATTATCAAAGTAGATAATCCACATTATCTGCTTGGAACTGGATTATATTAGGTCCCTTCTGCCATATAATCTTCCACAAACATGGAAGCCATTGCAAATTGAGTGTTCTGAGGACCATTTTGGACCCTTCCAGACAGGCCCTATATCCCAGGATGTGATCCCAGGTTTTCCTCTTTAAACAGGATTTTATTTATTTATTTAGTGCATTTCTATACCACCCCTCTCAGCCTTCTGGCGA